TTGTTTCAGGGTTCAATCTGTGAGTTAGCCATGCCCTGACTTAGATCAGCCCAGAGGTTGTTTCAGGGTTCTATCTGTGAGTTAGCCATGCCCTAACTTAGATCATCCAAACAGAGATTGTTTCAGGCTGTGATTGCTCTTATCCCTCTACRGTGATTTCAATGTACATAAAATGTTTACAAACTCTATAATTCATTGTTAATAATTGTGGATCATTTTTAACAGCTTTTACAGTGTGATTTTCTTGGTCTGTTTGCCATGGCAATGCGGGTTTGTTTCCTGCTATTTGAAGCTCTGCGCACCCATCTCAAGCTACAATTTGAGGTATGTAATCTTGCATTTCATACACTTTTCATTCGAGTCACTTGAGCATCAGTCTGTTGTTTAGGATGTCATAAGTACACTTCTTGGCTGGACCAACACTTGAAGTTGTCAGGATCTTGGTTTAGTATGTTTAATTTGAAATTCCTGAATGAATATCCCAAAGGAAACATTTCTGGTTAAAAATCAAGTTCGTTTGCTACAAAATAAGCCAACCAAATTCTGAACTTCGGTGGGAGGTTCAGGAGTTCATAACAAACTTTGTCTTGAAGATCCAAAGTTGGTYGCCAACTTGGGAATTTTCAAACATAGTTTGGAACCCAAAGGCGTAAAGTARTGTGAAACCGACCATAAGAAACCAGCCCAAAAATAATTAGCTAATGAGAAAAATTAGGAAAAAAATTATTCTGTATCAATAAGGGCTACGTAAAAAAATTCAGTTTGGGAACTGAACTTACAGATCCCACCAGCCCAGCCCCCTCCCCYGTAAATGAACGGTCCCTAACTACAGGGCCTGGTTTTTTGAAAGCCTGGATTGCGCTATCCAATGGATGAATCTTATCCAGTGGATAAATTTATTGGATAACAGCATTGACTTATCYACTGGATAAGGATTTATCTGCCGGATAGCACTATCCAGGCTTCGTACAACCAGGCCCAGCTGGACTGTTGGAAATTTGATGGAAGTTAACACATCTAGAGTGTTGTGAGTAGAGATACAAATCTTGCTTGTTTGGATATTCAGGGTTCGTGCTACTCCTTAACTCCTTGAAAACTCCTTGAATTTAATTCACGTTTTCAAGGGCACTTGAAAAGCCCTTGAATTTTATGATTTTAGCAAAACTCCTTTAAACTCCTTRAATTTTTGCTTTGATCATTACTTGCATGGTTCTGAAATAGATCTAGTCAGAAAGATTGAAAATCTGAAAGTCAGCCATGTGCAACCACCGTGTAAAACCTTGGCACATTTAGCTGAACATACTCCTTAAAAATTCATTTTTGGTTCCTTTTATACTCCTTGAATAGTCCTAGAATTTTAAGTGGTTACCTCAGCACAAACCCTGATATTTCTACTCACGTACAGCTTTCTCCTATTCCTAGATGTTCTTCAAGAGACTGATGGACATACTGGCCATGGACTTTCAGAGTGTTCCTTATGAGAAGAGAGAACTAATCCTGGATGCTATCAACCAGGTATCTTTCTTTGGGCAGGGCAGGGGGACAAACCCATGGGAACTGGACATTTTCATAGGGCAAATTTAATCCATGGTCCTGAGGGTGACAATCAATAACATACTGTAGCTAACAAACATCTAGTTCACAGTTTGCATGATGGCATTGTGAGAGGGGTTTAGCCTCAAGACGCGAATGTCAAAAGAYGACGGCGAAAKTGCATTTTTTCGTGCGCRCGTCATCCTCAATGTGGTTGACGTCCTCTACAGGACGCCATATGCAGCATATTTATGTCCTGTCTAGAACCCCAACTACGTTGAGGACAGCGCGCACACAAAAAAATGCGCTTGTGCCATCATCTTTTGACGTACACGAATCTTATTCTCAAGAAAATGACACATGGTCTGAATTTGGGAAAACAAGTCTCCTTTTCTCTCATGAGTACGAACCAAACGTCTAATTCAAGTGATAGTGTTCATCCTTCTAAGTCTAAGTTTTTGTTTTCAGCTGTTCCGTGTCCCAAACCTGGTCACTGAGATATACCTCAACTATGATTGCGATCTCTACTGCACAAATGTCTTTGAGGAACTCTGTAAGCTTCTTTCAAAGGTAAATATGGAGCTGGTTTAAATGTTGTTCAACCCTCTCTCTCACCTGACGTCAGTCACCATGAAAAATAGTCTTAATGGAGACTACTCTCACCCAGACTATCACAATCAACAATCATCATAAGACATTGACAATTTGACCAACATAATGGATTTAATTTTTATGGTTGTCTATCACTTCAGAATGCTTTCCCATCAGCGGGGAGTCTGTACAGTGTACACATCCTTGCACTAGATGCTCTGCTTGCTGTGGTACAAGGGGTAGAAGGTCACTGTCATGCTGCACTTGTTAGCTCTATGGAGAAGGCTGTGGAAGACAGCATCCCTTTTAGTAAAATGGAGAAGATGAAGAAGAGAGAGAAAATAGGTAATGCATAGATTGTCTCCTTAAACCTATTGGTATAAACTCAGTTGTGAATTGCTCATTATCAAAAACTGTCTTTCTTTACACCTTTTAGAGAAGAGCTGTTATGAGTCTGTGTATGTTGCTGATACTTGTGATGCAAGTGTGTACCAGASCTGAGCCTCATAACACATGCATTGGCATTAGCAACATATGCAGACTCAGTTGTGCATTGCTCATTATCAGCAACTGTCTTTCTTCACACGTGTTAGAGAAGGGCTGTAACGAGTCTGTATGTTGCTGATGCTTGTGTTGTAAGTGTGTACCAGACCTAAGCCTYGTAACACATGTATAGACATTAGCAACATATGCAGACTCAATTGTGCATTGCTCATTATCAGCAACTGTCTTTCTTCACACGTGTTACTTCACACGTGTTAGAGAAGAGCTGCAACGAGTCTGTGTATGTTGCTGATGCTTGTGTTGCAAGTGTCTACTAAACCTTAGTCTCCCCCACAGCCGCTTTCAGTGTCGTCACGCAACACTTTCTCCCCTGAAAGCGTTGCGTGACGACACTGAAAGCGGCTGTAGGGGAGACTAACTAAACCTAGGCCTTGTAACACATGSATAGGCACTAGCAACATATGCAGACTCAGTTATCCAATGCTCAATGTCTGTAGCAAATACCACCAGTTTGTACATACATTGTTCTTACCCTGATTTTATAATCTCAGATGATGATGATTCAGGCCCAGATGACAACGGTGACACACCAGTACTCAGCCACCCCTCCCCTCCAACTTCAGGGTTTGCCATGGCACAGACRATGAGAGTAGGGGTAATGTCTGAGTACTCTCAATCTGATAAGCTCAAGGATGAAAGCACAGAAAAGGTCAATAATTTATTAAATGAAAGATTCCATGGCTTGTCAACTGGGTTGTTATTTTCTTCTTCGCTGCCTACTCCTGAAATGCTGGCCAAACTAAAGCAGAAGAAAAAGGTGGGTTTACAAACATTCAACTTTTATTCGCTGAAGGCGAAGTGATTATCGGAAAATGTAAACACTCAATTGAAGAATCGTTGTCGGGTTCAGAAACATAGAACATAGAAGCTGAGACCGAAATGGCACACGGGAAATGACAATTTATTCATTTGCGCCATCCATGCAGTCGGTTTAGAATGCCAAACGCGTATTAAAAACAGTGGATGATGCCACGGGTCGCCGGTCACAGCATGCATCTAATTAACGTACTTACCATGTGTCATTTCGGTCTCAGCTTCTATATTTTATGTTTCTGAACCCGACAACGATTCTTCAATCTAGTGTACACTCATTATTATTATTATTTATTCTGCTTTAGACAATGTCACTATGACTCACAATGCACTTCGGTCGACAAACAAGCGTACGCGGGGGGCGCGTTATATTCACCTGTAGGTGAATATAGCAGCCTAAGACGTTAATGCATTTTTTCCCAAAAAACAAACAAACAAACAAAAAATTGTAAGCGAACTAATTGATTGTTAAGATATAATTCTAAGTACTGTTTAATAAACGAGCAGGAGTGTTTTATCGAGTATAAAACACGAGGCGTAGCCGATTGGTTTTAGACCCGATAAAACACGATCTGCGAGTTTATTAAACGGCTTAAAAAACTCCTGATGTATGTTCTCATACTGTACCGAATTCTTTACGAAATAAACCAAGTTTGATAGAGAAAATCCAAGTTAAAGTTTATGCAAATGAAGACGAATCTATATCAGATATAAAACCGCCTTCATGGTCATGATTTCTATTGTGTTTTCTTCATGAATTATTAATGAGTTTTTTACTGATAGTGAAACATAAAAATATAATAAATAAATAATGATGATGATGACGATGATGGTCATGATCATGATGACGATGATGATGATAATAATAATAATAATAATAACCACGGTTTATCACAATGATTCATTATCTAAAGTAAAGCAAGGAAACCCCTCCCCCCTCCCCCCCTCAAAAAAAAAACGACGTAAATTGTGACCAATGAGCGCGCAGGATTTATTATATTCACTTGTGTAAAAATACTTATCCCCGCGATATTCACTTCCCCTTATAATAATAATAATGAATATGTTTTTATATAGCGCATTATATACTCTCAATGCGCTTTACAAATACCACGACGAAGTGTCAAGTGGAAAAAAATAGATTAAAGTTACAAATTGAACAAAAATGTTTTTAGTTTTTTCTTGAATATTTCCAAAGACTGCGATGTTTTTATATCTGGTGGTAAACGGTTCCATAGTCTGGGCGCTGCTACGGCAAAGCTACGCGCACCATATGACTTAGTACGATATGGAGGTTGTTTTGAAATTACTCCTTGTGTGGCACTCCTTAGCTTACGAGTAGGTTGGTGTATTTTGATTTATTCCCCTTCAGTGAATACTTGTTAAATAACAGAATTGAGAAAAGAATTCTATCCCCAATCTAAAATCGTGAAATCCTTTTCCTACAGTTATTGCAAGCAGGGTCAGAACAATTCAACAACAAGCCCAAGAAAGGCATCGAGTTCCTCCAAGAACATAACCTACTACATCGTCCATTAGAACCTGAAGAAATGGCCAGATTCTTACGAGAAAACCCAAGACTTGACAAAAAGACCATTGGTGAATATATCGGCAACAAACACAACGCTAAAGTACTGGACGCGTTTGTTAGGTATATTTTGTATTTAGAGTGATTTAGCATCAAGACGCGTACGTCAAAAGACGACGGCGCGAGCGCATTTTTTCGTGCGCGCGTTGTCCTCAACGTGGTTGACGTCCTCAACAGGACGCCATTTGCAGCATTTTTACGTCCTGTCTAGGACACCAACTACGTTGAGGACGGCGCGCGCACGAAAAGATGCGCTTGCGCCGTCGTCTTTGACGTACGCGTCTTGAGGCTAAATCTCTCTAGCATTAATGCGGGGGAAAAACATTCGATCATCTATTAAGTAACCATTTAGCGTCCACCTATAAAGCAATCAACCTTTGTTTGGGGTCCACCTATTAAGCAACCAACCTCTAATAATCGACCACCTATTAAGCAACCAACCTCTAATAATCGACCACCTATTAAGCAACCGACCTCTATTTAGAGTCCACCTTTAAAGCAAACAACCTCTGTTTAGCGTCCACCTATAAAGCGGCCAACCTAATCTGCTTACTATTCCACTTTTGTAGGAGTTTTCCACTGCATGACTTGAGGGTAGACGAAGGACTGAGGTCATTCCTGGAAACGTTCCGTCTTCCTGGAGAAAGTCCTGTCATTGAACACATCATGGAATATTTCTCGGAGTATTTTTTTGTAAGTAACAAACAAATGGGGGAAGTAAAATGACTGTATTTGTAGAGGCTTGAGCGTGACGGACGTTGAGTGGAAAATAAAAGAAAGGCAAGAAGAGGAATGGAATGGAAAAGTGACGAGACGAGAGGAGGGGGGAGGAGAGGAGAGAAAAGGAAAGGAAAGGGATGGGAAAAGGAGAGCAGAAGAGAGTAAAGGGATATATTCTTTATAGAAAGGAAAAATAGCAAAGTAATGGGAATGAGAGCAAAGGGATGGGATGGATAAAAGGAAGGCAGAGAAGTAGAAAGGAAATAATAGCAAAGTAATGGAAAGGAGGGGAATGAAAAGGGGAAAGGAGTGGAGTGGAGAAAAAACGAACGAAAGGAATGGAAAGGAAATCAAAGTAAAGCAACTTCATTTAGAGAGTGTGACACAGCAATGGCATATAACCTTTTGGACTCTATTTTAAACGTCTCTAAATGAGACGAGACCGCCATTTTACATGGTYATCCCTGCCACATAAATGTATAATCACTATTTGCAGATGGTTATAGAGTTTTTGCACCATCAMGTGCCCAAGCCCATAATACAACTTGGGCCGCCTGTGGTTAGATGGCAGAACGATAAAATCACTTTACTCTTGGGAATTTATTTTTTTCTTATGTAAAACGATCGTATTATCCCTGTGATAAGCTAATGGCACGAACACGGTCGTGACACGGCAGGGGATACGCCAGACCAATCGCACTGCTCGAGAAGGTATTCTTCATCCAATCAAATATCCGGAAAACAGTATAAACACGGCGCGKACACGGTCACGCTAAGGTCGCGGCACTGTCAGACAATCACATTGCGCGAGAAAAAAATTAAAATTCTAGAAAACATCACGATCACGGCACGGCACGCTTACGTCACTGAGCTTTTYACAGTCATACGAAAACCACTCTAACTTGGCTGCCGTCGCGTGATGGTGCAAAACCTCTATTACAAAGGCAGCACCTTTTACTCGAATATTTCAAGTAAATAAGTCGTCACTCGTTTTGTTTCGTATGTGTAGGTTAGCAACCCAGATGTCTACGCCCATAAGGATGCTGTATTTACTCTAACCTATGCTGTAATCATGCTGAATGTTGATCAACACAATACTAACATCAAGCAACAAAAACCAATGACARTCGAGGTAAGAACACCTTTCGCCAGCACAGAGAACATGTCACGTTTTGAACCAGTAAAAAATGCTAAAGTGCATACCATATAAAAAGTTAAAGAAGACTTGAAAAAAGCCCTTGCTCATTGTCAAATTTCCTAAAGATTACGACGAAACCAAGATGACTATGTAACCTCATAACCTCTATCATGCAATTTTATTGGTCGAATAAAACGCAAATGTTTATTGGTTGAATATGCAAGGCTTTGTTTGTCGACTAAAGTCGCCTACTGCTCTCCTTTAAAAGTCGACAAAAGTTGCCCATGGCTGTGAAAAAGTTTAACTTGACAAAATTTTACAAATTAGTGCAAGTATAGAGGTCTACTGAACTTACTAATTTGTGAAAATTTGTGAAAATTTGTACAAAGATGTTCACGTAGTATATATTGTATGCACTCTACCATCATAGAAAAATGGAAAGTAAATGACATTTTTATATCAGTGGGAAACGATATGGAACATTCGTATACAGCATTTCGTGCCGTGTCGTATGTTTCCCACTCATGCGATAACCATTCTTATGGAAAGCCATTTCAATGTTACAGCATGTCGTACCGTGTACTTGATGTAAGTCAGCACCGTACGTTTCCCACTCATACGATAGCCATTCTTATGGGAAGCCATTTCAACGTTACAGCATGTCATACCGTGTACGTGCTGTAAGTCAGTACCGTACGTTTCCCACTAATACAATAACCATTCTTTTGGAAAGCCATTTCGATGTTACGGCATGTCGTACCGTGTACGTGCTGTAAGTCAGTACCGTATGTTTCCCAATCATACGATAACCATTCTTATGGGAAGCCATTTCAATGTTACGGCATGTCGTACTGTGTACGTGCTGTAAGTCAGTACCGTACGTTTCCCACTCATACGATAACCATTYTTATGGGAAGCCATTTCAATGTTACGCCATGTCGTACCGTGAACATGATGTAAGTCAGTACACTATTTCATCCACTCATACAAAAATCGGCTGTATGATTTTTTGACAGGATTTCAAGCGAAATCTAAGAAAGATCAACGGTGGAGTGGATTTCCCTTCGACGATGTTAGAAGAGATCTATCATGCCATAAGGTACTGGTTCTCTTATACAAAATGATTTCTCTTCCACCTTGACCCTCAAAAGAAATTATTGCATTTCAAAATTTTTTWAAATGCGGTAATTTTGTTGCAAATTGTCTCTATCGAAAACTTTCAAAGGCTGCAATATCAAAATTGAAAAACAATTCGTGCTAGTGTGTTATAYGCACATAAAGGTGGTGGAAACCTTTTTTTTTTTTTGCAGGACTGAGGAGATAGTTATGCCAGCAGAACGAACTGGAAGAATACGTGAAAACTATGACTGGAAGGTAAAACAAAGAAATAATACTCCAGGGAATAACTGACATGAGTGGTCTGAAATGGGAAAACGGTGGATTAGGTGTATGGAGATCTAAAGTCTGCTGYGCTGAGCAAAACAATTTTCATGTAAACATGTAAACACGAACGTTGTTGGCAATCACGTGAGGGTCTCAGCCAATCAAATTGGACTTCTCTTACTGAAAGACTGACCTCTGTGATGTGTGTGGGTAGTGATTCTTGGTTCATGGTTTTGTTAAGTGTGACATCCCTCGAAACATCTATCTTCAGCAATGTTGTAAACACGTAAACGTCGTACCGTATGTGCAAGTCAGGCCCTGTTTATGATCCTATGCCTAGGATCTTYCTTGCAGGCGAATCAACCTACCGGCTATCTATTTTTTTGCTTTCTGTTTACATGCACATTGGCAGGCTTCTTTCGGGTACTAGGATCTTCCTAGTACTAGGGTCTTCCTGTCTGAAAGATAGGAAGATCCTAGTACTAGGATTGTGTTTGACTCTAGCAAAACACATGTAAACGAGAAAGGAGAGATAACTCGCCTACTAGGGCCAAGGGATATTTATCTTGGGACTTCTGTGGTGTKAATGTGAGTAATTACGGCCCCGTGCCGTACCGTTCTCATGTAAACTAAACGCAAAAGTTATTTCGTCTGCAAGGAAGATCCTAGAGCTAGGATCATCCTCCTCCCATGTAGGGGCCTCAARCAACTTTAAGAAATCTGAGTTTTCGCTAATTAGAACATAAATTTCTCACTCAGACTTGTTGTAAATTGKTTGGACGGAAGCCAAAGCAAGCAGAAAATGTGGCACGTCTGGAGTTGTTTCCGTAACATGATGCATTGTGGTCTAGCTTGGGTATCAACGCCTTTCCTTTCGTTTACCTAATATGGTGTTATTTGTACTCAAGCTAGACCATAATGCATACTGTTTATCGATTTCAGAAAATCGTATCAGCCAATCAGAATGCAGGATTCGCCATATATGACTGATATATTCTTGAAAAAATCAAAAACGCACGCGCGTGCTGTGTGCAGTTATAAAGGACGTGGGGATAGGTAGAACGCGAGAGAAGTGTTAGGAGTAGCACGACGCTCTACTCGACACCTTGAGTGTTCTGCCAGTCCCTAAGTGCTTTATAACTCCACACAGCACAGCACAGCAGGCAGGTTTTTTTGTTTCTTTTATAAAATACAAGGGCGCGTGCGTTGCTTTGTGCTCTCATAAAGCACGCACTGCCAACCAATCAGAATGCGAGATTTATAACAGTTATTTTATAATTGTACACATAGATGCTGTTACGTCGTAGTAATACCCACGAGGGGAAATACATCAGTGGCGTTGATTCCAGTTTTGATCAAGATCTGTTCGCTATTATCTGGGGACCAACTGTCGCGGCTCTCTCATATGTCTACGATAACGCTCTGGAGAAGAATGTGGTCCAGAAGGCTATATCAGGATTTAGGTAAGTGTACCACTTCTACCAGACCCAGCCTAGTATTGCTATAGATTASTTAAGGTGGTGTTTCACTTGGCAAAGTTGCTTGAAATTTATATCTTAAATAAATAAATAAATCACTTTATTTAAGTGTCTAGTCGTTCGCACTAATTGGGGACACTTTTCGCTCACACGCATGCACTACCACTACATTCAATAGTGCAGTTTTCGTATGACTGTGAAAAGCGCAGTGCTTAAGCGTGACGTGCCGTGACCGTGATACTTTTTAGAATTTTAATTGGCTGATTTTTTTCATGCGCAATATGATTGGTCTAAATGTGCCGTGATCTTGGCGTGACCGTGTCCGCGCCGTGTTTATGCCGTGTTCCGGGTATTTGATGGGATGGAGAGTAAATTCTCGTGCAATGTGATTTGTCTGGCGTATCCCTTGCTGTGTCACGACCGTGTTTGTGCCGTGAGCTTTTGACAGTCATACGAAAACTGCAATATTCTATGCACACGACGCTCAGCTCGCATGTTGGGATCTACCACTACATTCAATATTCTATGCACACGACGCTCAGCTC